ATTTTACCCGAAACAACGCCCGCTTTTAGGGGAAATCACCTAAATTTTTTAAACATCGTTCAAAAAGCGTTCAGAAAAGTGGTCTAAATATAGCGATTTATGACGTCAAAATGCTACAGTCAACTGGGGGTCTTACGTCAAAATGCTACAGTCAGCGGGGGGACGAGTTACTAAATTTAGCATTTTTGCTACAGTCAGATGAAGCAAACCAATCACAGTGCTGCAATGCGCTACAGTCAGCTGCAGTTGCGCAATTCGATAGGAACTTTAGAGCGATGTTATTTGGCTACATTTGTTTGCGCTTTTACCGAGCCAATTTCGGGAACTGAGTATAGCAGAAGTTCCAAACCGGATGTAGAGAGGGCGTTGTGCATGTATTGTGAAGGGATTGTGAGAGTGTGAGAAAACCAGAGATGTGACAAAATATATTATTGATATTTACTTAAAATTCAACCATTTGTGATTTGTTGTGAACACGTTTTAAGGGAGGCATAGAAATTCACAACACGTGGCACCTCAACGAACGGGATATTTGTGATTTTGTGATGTTTTAGCGTGTGTAAAAGTCGTGAACAAAGTATTTGTATAAAAGCGACATGGCGACAGGCGAAAATACGGGAGAAACCGCGGAAATTACACTAAAACCAAAACTAATTCAACTTGGGAGAGCAAGAGATAAGTCGGATAACGTTTTAAAAGGAGGTAAGGAACATGTTATTCGAAGACATATCGAAACTTTAAAAGAATCGCTAACAGAAGTGAGCAAATGGCATAGAACTGTCGAAGCCGAGAAAATTACATCAAAGGAAGAAGTGAGCGAGATCGATCAATGGAGCAACGAAATAGAAAAGCATATAGAAGCAGCAGACCAAACAATAGGGCTTCTCGAACAGTGGTTAAACGATACACAAGTCAAACGTGAAGATCAACGTCGACAAGAGCGTATGAATTTCGAGCTTAAACTTGAAGAAGCAAAAATTAAACTGAAAGCAGAACACAAGAAAGTGGAAGCACCATCGAGTGAGATATCTTCAAGCGCAAGTGGAAACATCCAAGCCAGGTTACCCAAGCTTACAATCACAAAATTTGATGGAACATATGCTGATTGGCCTCGATTTGGGGGACAATATTCTGAAACAATCGATAAATCAAGTACGCTTCCTGTTACTAAATTTTCTTATCTTAGATAATTAGTATGCGAGAAAGCGAAGAAAGCAATTGAAGCTTTGCCATATACTGCCGAAGGGTATAATAGGGCCTTAGCCATTTTGAAAGACAGATTTGGCAAAGATAGTGAGGTCGTCAAAGCATATGTGAAGGAAATACTCGATCTTCCTTATACCCCGTCATCAAACCCAAAAAGAATTCTCGAATTTTACGAAAAGTTAGCATATTCTGTTCAGTCACTGGAAACCCTTAAAAAGCTGGATGCTGTAAATGGAACGGTTTCTATGACCCTTGAGAAGTTACCAAACATTCGGGGAGACTTGGTTCGCAATGACTCCAAGTGGGAAGAGTGGAATTACGTTCAACTTACTGAGGCCCTCAGACTGTGGACACGACGTAATCCAGTTGAAGCCAAGCAAGATGATTCAAACAAGAGAGAGCGGCGAAACCAGTACCATCTCCAGACACAGCAAGGGAAATCCCAGCAAAAACGAGTTTGTGTATATTGCAACTCAGAGAGCCACCGATCAACCGAATGTGATTCAATCTTGACATTAGACGAAAGAAAGAGACTGTTGGCAAAGAAGAAACTGTGTTTCAACTGCACAGGGCCTTCCCATAGAGCATCAGAGTGTAGAAGTACATCAACCTGCAGGCATTGTAACAAAAGACATCATACGTCAATTTGTAATGCGCCTAAGTCTAAGCCAGAAGCAGCGATGACTGCCAGAAAACAAGAAGACCAGGAGGTGATATATCCTATCGTACTTGTCGAAGTTGAAGGAATTAAAACCCATGCGCTTCTCGACACTGGAGCTGGTAGTTCCTATGCCTCGACCAACCTGATCAATGCTCTAAAGAAAAGACCCAAAGAAGTGAAGACAAAGAGAATAGAAATGATGCTGACGTCATCGACAACTCGAATCGAGATATATTCGGCAAACCTCAAGTCGCGCTGGACCACAAATTCGACATGAACGTTGAACTATCGAAAGTAGACAAGCCAGAGCTGATGTCGGTCAAAAACCCACGGTATGCAAAGTTATTAGATAAGTATAGCCATCTTAGGGGTGCAAAGCTTGATGATCCTGACAATCGGCCAGAAATTCCAATCCATGTAGTGCTCGGCGCAAGTGATTATGCAATGATTAAAACCACAACAGCCCAAAGAGTCGGGTTACCAGGCCAACCAATTGCAGAGAAAACACTCCTTGGATGGACAATCATGTCTCCTGGAAGAGAGGAGGTAGACAGCCCAATTCTATTAACCAAATCCGCCAACACGGACTATGAACAGCTATGTGCGTTGGATGTTCTAGGTCTTGCCGACAGTAATGAGAACGACCAGCAGACAGTCTACCAGGAATTTAATTAAGGAGCAACTACGCAGAAATGACGCAGGATGGTATGAAGCCAAATTACCTTGGAAAGGGAACCACCCCCCTCTACCCACCAATGAAACTGGGAGCAAGCGACGCCTAGATCACCTAATAAGGAAATTGGAGCAGACAGATCAGTATGAAAGGTACGACGAGATTATACGAGAACAGCTACAACTCGGGATTATCGAAGCAGCGCCAGAAAAGGCTACGGGGAAAGAGTTCTACATTCCACATAAAGGCGTGACCAGGAACGATGTAGAAAGTACCAAGTTACGCATAGTGTATGACGCGTCAGCGAGAGAAAGCAACAGCCATCCCTCTTTAAACGACTGCCTTCATCCAGGGCCCCCGCTACAAAACCACCTATGGGACGTTTTAGTAAAATCACGCACCTACCCAATCCTCGTTACCGCCGACTTGAAGAAAGCCTTCCTGCAAATCCGAATTATGGAGGAAGAACGGGACTCGTTACGATTCCACTGGAAGCATCCAAACACTAGTGGAATTGAAGTGTACCGTTTCACCCGAGCGTTATTCGGTCGCACATGCTCGCCATTTCTCCTCGGGGGAGTGATAAACCAACACCTTGACAATTGGGAAGAGCGATACCCAGAGATCGTTAAGGAACTGCGTGAAGCAATATATGTCGACGATCTAATGAGCGGTGGAACAACTGTTGAAGAAACCGAGCAAAAGAAAGCAGCTGTTGTTGAAGTGTTCGAAGATGCAACGTTTAGCATCCATAAATGGCATTCTAACGCGCCAGAACTCGAACCGACTAACGAAGTACAAACAGAACCCGAAGAGATTACCTATGCCAAAAGCAAGCTCGGAGGAGTTGATCAACCAGAAGGGAAACTGCTCGGTCTTCCATGGAACAGACAACAAGATACGTTAAGTGTCACCCTGACAAAACAATTCGGAACAACAACCAAAAGAGGAATCCTTTCAAAACTAGCCAAGATATATGATCCGTTAGGACTTGTGTCTCCTACTACGTTAGTAGGTAAACTAATTTATCGTGATGTTTGTGACGCAAAACTACCATGGGATGCCAGCCTGCCATTACCGTTAATTAAACGATGGAAAGAATGGAATGATTCCCTTGAAACATTTACGGTCCCTCGATCACTTGCACCACATCGACAATCGGTATCAGAAGTTACTCTACATGGCTTTGGGGACGCAACCTCCCGTGGAGTATGCGCAGTAGTTTACGCGGTTGTCAATCAAGGAGAAGAAATCACCCAAGAACTGGTTTGTGCCAAGTCAAGAATTGCGAAGCGTAACTTAACAATTCCTCGACTAGAATTAATATCCGGGCATATGGCAGCAAACCTCGTGACCAATGCCCAAGCAGCATTCAGTATCCAGCGCGTGACCCTTCGTTGTTGGCTCGACTCCACGGTCGCCCTTTATTGGATCAATGACCAAGGCGAGTATCACCAGTTCGTGGCCAACCGTGTCAACAAGATCCAGCAACACAACCAGATAACTTGGCATCATGTTCCAACCACAGATAATCCAGCAGACATAGGAAGTCGGGGAGGGAATGTCGTGAACAACGAGCTGTGGAGGAAAGGTCCAACGTGGTTGAGCAACCCATCTGAGTGGCCACCAGACAAGCGACTAGAAGCAACTGCAGAAACTAAAGCCGAAGCCAAAGTAATCAAAGAGATCCTTGCTGTTGCAACTATTGAGCCGGACATCTTTGACGAACTGCTTGACAAATACCAGTTATCTAAAGTACTAAGAATCGGGGCGTGGATTAATCGGTTCATCTCAAATTGCAAGAAAGACGGCCGTGAAAGGGAAGTTGGTCCAATCAAGACGAGCGAGATCAAACAACAACAACTGTGGTGGATACTACGGGTCCAAAGAGAAGCGGAAGGAGACCTTCATTTCCGAACTGACCAAATACAGCTCAACCTTCAGCCCAATGAGGACCAAGTACTGGAATGTCGGGGAAGAATCATAGGTGAATATCCCATATACCTGCCTGATTCACATCCATTCACAGCTAAAGTGGTATTTCAAGCTCACATGGCTACAATCCATGGAGGGATCGGGATCACGATGACAAAGGTACGAGAACGGTACTGGGTACCACGACTTCGCCGGTTGATAAAGAAGATTATGAGAGCATGTCATGGATGTAAGCGGTTTCATGCGAAAGCCTACCAAGACCCACCACCTGGAAGCCTGCCAACCACGAGAACCCAAGGAACTACACCATTTCAAGTACTCGGTGTTGACTTCGCAGGGCCAATACGGTATTCACTGAAGTCCAAGAAGGAAGCAAAGGCTTACCTCGCCCTATATGCATGCAGTCTTACAAGAGCTGTACATTTACACCTAGTGAAGTCATTAACTGCTCCAGAATTCATTATCAGTCTAAAGAGATTTATCGCACGCAGAGGAAGACCCGAACTGATTTACTCAGATAACGCGGCTACATTCCAAGCTGCTGCCAAGTGGGTGAAAGAAGTAAGAGAAGACGAAAAGCTTAATGATCTACTAGCCAACCTCTCCATCGAGTGGCGATTTAACCTAAGCCGTGCCCCTTGGTTGGGAGGGCAATTCGAGCGTCTGATTGGGGTGTTCAAAAGTGCTTTTCGTAAGTCAGTCGGCAATGGTAATTTGAATTGGATGGAGCTTGAAGAAGTGGTCCTAGACATCGAAAACACCATCAATAATCGGCCACTAAGTTATGTAGAAGACGATGTCGAGTTACCTGTTATGACCCCTAATTCCATCCTGCACATCAACTCAACCTATATACCGGAATTAGATAGTCACCGCATTCCAGAGAAGGACCTCAGGAAACGAGCGAAGTACTTACGTAAATGCAAGCAAGCTATGTGGAACAGATGGACTCGAGAATACATTCGTAGCCTTCGGGAACAACATCGCCTGACGGAGAAGAAAGATACATCCTATCCTAACGTTGGAGATATTGTGATTATCAAAGAAGATCAGAAACCCAGAAACGTGTGGAAACTAGCGATGGTAAAGCAATTAATCACGGGGAGAGACAGCGTTGTGAGAGCTGTGCGGTTGAAAACTGGAAATGGTCATTTAGAGCGGGCAATCCAACATTTGTTTCCGCTGGAGTTAAGTTGTGATGCGGAAGAACCAAGTCAGCTAAACCCAGAAGCTCCGGAGTACAACCCTCGACCACGAAGACAAGCCGCAGCCGTAGCTTCACAACGAATTCAAGAAATCGTAAGACAAGAAAACGAGGAACATTGACATGGAAAATAAACGTTTACGTGTAATTAACATTCATATTTAACCAAATTCTAAGAACATTAATGTAGACATTGTTTGTTGAGCACAAAGGACTCGCCTAATTAAGTTCACTCAGTCCAAGAAGTTGCATGTATATGTCAATTGAGAATATACATGGGGGAGTGTGTCGGGAACTGAGTATAGCGGAAGTTCCAAACCGGATGTAGAGAGGGCGTTGTGCATGTATTGTGGAGGGATTGTGAGAGTGTGAGAAAACCAGAGATGTGACAAAATATATTATTGATATTTACTTAAAATTCAACCATTTGTGATTTGTTGTGAACACGTTCTAAGGGAGGCATAGAAATTCACAACAGCTGTTCTCAAAAATAAAATGTCCATAATATATGTCATATTCTTGTTGTTAGAAAGTGTAGGTAAATTATATAATAAAACAATATTTTACTGGTGACCTTGTTTTACTGTTTAATTAACAGGACATGTGTATAAAATTAGAAAAGTTATGTTCTAATTAGACTTTACCATTTGCTAATACTGTGCCTGTAGAAGTCCCATTGAACTTTCTGCATGTAGCCTATATAGGCGTAAAAATATTGTAAGTCTAGATGTAAGTCAAGAAACAGAAAAGCATGTTAAAATCTTACCAATTTTAATAAAGCTTTCAACGGTCTTGGTGACCCAATACTCAATAGTCCTATAAATTCAACCTGGTTCGTTCTTTCGTTGTTGTTGCACCAACAAAAATACGTTAATTCATGATCGAAGAGGAAGTGTAGAGCACAACACAACATGAAAAACACAGAACAACAGTACAAACACAGTACAAAAAATATTATATGCCCACTCAAAAACAATCAAAGCAACCGCCATTTTGAAACTGCTTGCACACTGAGCTATATAGGTCACTGAAGCATACTTGCAAAATCACCCATAATATCCATAAAATACCCCGATATACCTGTGGAATGTTCATTTTGTGGACTTTTGAAAGGGAAATCCCCCAATGGTGAGAACTCTCGAAACACACTGAAGCTATTGGGAAGAACTCTGAAGCACACTGAAGTTTTTTGTTTTGTGCCCCATTGCGCCCTGATGTGCCCTACTTTATTATTTTACTCTGTCAAACGCCAGATGATTACAATTCAATGTATGTATATAAATAAAAAATCTTTTTAGCTTTTTTCTTACAAAGTTACATAATCAGTATGGTTAATTTAAAATTGTGGCAACATGTTGAAACAGTAATTCAGACCCTCTCAATCCAGATCAAGTGACACAGTAAAACAAATGGAGCAAATAAAAACTGTGTTCACCCTGCACAAGTGACGTTTAATTTCGTTAAGACTAGTTAACAACTGTATCGCTTGTGGATAATGGGTGCCTGGGTCATCCAGGGGCTTCCGCTTTCAAACACTAACAGCCGCTGACCTACTATCGCCATGCGCATGCTGGTATGCCAGAAATCACTGACCATACTAACAAACATACTAACTGTGCTCTTTAACTGTTGTTAACTTAAATTGCATTTAACTGCATAAAATACCTTGGCAATTCCCTGGTAGTCCATGGCTTGGGGTAGGCGGGGATGTACTTTGACTGGCGCATTAACCTACAGATTTAAAAAATAATTTCTTTTACCAGTTGCCCTATAGCTAGTGCCTTCAGCATGTTATTGTCATACTATAAACCTCCAATGATAAGCCTTGGGCTTATATGCGTTACAACGTTAGTAGGCTACGCCGGGAGAGTCCATCTCTATACGAAGGGCAAAGAAAAAGTTAGAAAGGCTCCACACCTTATCTTTATCAAAACTGGTACGGAGCAGAATTGTTCCTCGCGAGGATGGACAGCCCTCCATTCGACCTAAGCCAAACGACTTCCTGGAGTGGGCAGCTAAGAACGAGGATGATAATGTTGATGATGAGAGTGCCCAGTCATTATCCCTAGTGGCTCTTCGCTGAATGACTCTGTTAATGACATTTTAAATGATCATGACTCTGATTGCTTTAGTTTTTCAGTATAGTAAAGACCCACGATATATCACCCAAAGTTTTCCATGTTCTAATGTATTAATAGTGCTTTATATATTTGTTGTGAACCTGCATGGCTTCTTAGACAGGTTCATACAAAATTATAAATAGAAATTTTAGACTGAAAGGTTTTTATTCGTGGGTTTTCATTCTGCACGTGATAATTTGATAATCAAATTTATGAGTTTGCGTAATTTACACTGTTTATACGATATGCATTTATTCTGCATGGCAGATTTTATGTTATTGATATGGTAAATATAAAATTGAAGAAAAAATGATGTGTGCTGAAATTTTTTTTGTTTTTGGAGACCCCCTACTTCCTGCTTTTCTATTAAACTCGCCACTGGAGCAGCTTGTTTGCTATTACGTTCAAATCTGGGAAACGCCAGAGAGATATATGAATGGCATTACTTTTGTTTCATTGATCATCTTACCTGCACGTACAATTTATTAACGAAAATATCTAAAACATGGCTTAACTGTAACTATTATTATTTGACATTTGCGATTTTGAATAGTTTGTTTAACCATTAATGTTTAACCATTAAAGGGGCAATGTCACCGATTTTTGGGCAATTCCAACCCTTGCAAATTTTGCCCAAAACTGAAAAAGAATGAGTGGAAGCACGAAATAAAGCAATAACAGACACAAAAAAACATGTACAGAAGTCTGGATGGGCAAGATTACGCCAGGATTGAGATGGATTGTAAATGGCATCTTGATTAATTGTTGGCAGACACTTTTTCAAGTTTTAGTCAATTTTTATGAAAATATCATATTACATGTTTCGTGGAAGTTCAAAGTTGTTTAATACGACTTATATATCATAACTTAATCCATTTACAATGTTTATTTTTAACTTTGTAGTTCAGTTTTTGAATAAACAGTATTTTAGGTCAAAAATCGGCGACATTGCCCCTTTAATGGTTAAACAATACTATAGGTATTTAAATGGAAACGTCAAATAGACAATACACGTTTCTTTTCTGTTCTTTTCGTACGACATTAAATGTGTTTTAAGGTTAAATAAACATACAAAACACCTTTGCTTAACGTTGAGTAAAGACATGTACCTTTTCACAGTTCAACACTACATTAAATGTGATTAAAGGTTAAATAAAGATACACAACACCTTTTCATAAAGTTGAGTAAAGGCATGTACAGGTACCTTTTTACAATTTCAACACATATTAAATGTGATTAAAGGTAAAATAAAGATTCAAAACACCTTTGCTTAAAGTTGAGTAAAGACGTGCACCTTTTTACAATTTCAACACCACATTAAATGTGATTAAAGATGTAAAATACCAGAGAGCAGAAAAGCTTTGTACAGTGTAGCTTCAAGGTACGTACCTGTACAACTCATTTCTCTTCGCAGTTAAAGACAAGTTAGAAACCTTTAATTCCCTTTAAACAAACTTTTCTCATTCTTTAATAGGTCGTCTTTAATCATCTATAATTATACTATAATTTGGTCATTTAAAGCCTCCAGAAAAATCTTTAATCTGCATGCTGAAAGGAGAGTTTAGGTACATTTACTAAATTTAATCAAACTGATTAAATGTGAATAAAGCCGCCATAACATCGCTTTACGCCGCCTTTAACCATGATGATAGAATTGACATGGCTAATAGAAATTTTGTGCCTTCCGTCTTTCGGGAGCTATTGTGCTATAAATTAATATCTGATATAAGCAGGTGTTATAAGTACAACAATTGTCATAACTCTTTAATTATCGCGAGGAATCTCAAAGATATAAAGAATTATTCCGATAGGCGATACCCTAATTTTCTTTTCAACTAGTCGCATCCAGCCCTGCTGTCGAGTGTATGGACATTACTCAGTTAACATATCGATTTTTCCTTCAAATCAAATCAAATCAAATAAACTTTATTTCATCCAGGGTAGTCACGTCAGTTCAGAAGAACTACATGGTATCAACGTGAGCTAGCCCTGAATACTAACTAATTACTAAATAAATTTAAATTTTGTTTTTTTGAGATTATATGAAGATTTTACAAAATATAATATAATAAATAATCGTACAGTTTACAATAATTAATTATAGAATCTATGCTAGAAAGATCATATTATGGATTTCTAAAGTGCTCTATGACTCTCTTCCTAAAGTTTATGAAAACATTTTCTTCCCGAATATACGAAAAGCAAACGGTCAAAAAATTGTGGGTCTCTAGCATAAAAGCCCTTACTCCTAAATACCATGCAGTTTCACTTTAAGTATATCACATTTATGCGCGCAGTTTTTCGTTATTCTGCAAGGATTTGATAAGTCGGATGATATTTTCGTAAGAAAGGTGGAACTCTGATTGTTTAAACATTTAAAAACTAAAATGGCAGTATGCATTTTTCTGCGGGAAATTAGCGATGTTTAGTTCGTATGACTGATACATGTCTATGATTTTTTCTGCTCTTGTTTGTAGTTTTTTCTAGTTTGACTAGTTTGTGTTAGTGCTGTGTTGTTGAGAGTGTCCCAAACAACGTCACAGTAGTCAAAGACCGGCAGTACGTACCATATAGCCGTACACTCTAAAAAAAGGTGTGTTAATTTAACACACCTTTTTGTCCAAATTTTAACACACCTTAAGGTGGGTTTTAAAACACACCTTAAGGTGTGTTTAACACAGCTTTTGGCGTGTTTTGTAACACAGCTTAAGGTGTGTTTAACACACCTTAAGGTGTGTTCTAAAACCCACCTTAAGGTGTGTTTTCGGCTTGTCCAGATTTTAACACACCTTAAGGTGTGTTTTGTATAAAGGTGTGTTTTTGAACACACCATGGCGTGTTTTCGTACACACCATGGCGTGTTTTCATACACACCATGGCGTGTTTTCATACACACCATGGCGTGTTTTAAAACACACCTAAAGCTGTGCTGTATAACACACCATTGAGGTCTGTAATGTTTACAGCACGTTGTAAGGTGTGTTTCATAACACACTAAGGTGTGTTACATAACACACCTACAAAAGATGCTATATAACACAGCAAACCTAAGGTGTATTAGAAAACACATCTACATATTCTTATTAAAAGTAAAATGACATTAGAGACATGCTCATTTGCACAGAGTTTATCCATGACAAAATATTTATTTGACACTGACTAAATTACATTTTACATAGTTGACTATGTACTTTTACTATACTTTTACTAAACCGAACTGTAACAGACAACTTCTCATTCTGATGCAGTCTTCTGGCAATTAGAGTAATGGAGTACTATATTAATTGTCTCGTACTTTACAGCCATGCAATTGTCAAAATATTGCAAGCCCACATCTTCCACAATCAGAATACCTGTCATATGAAACACTGTAACTGATAACTTGCATCCAATCATTCCATCTTTGTATCATTTTCTTTATCGCTCGGTGAACCACAACCTTTGAATCACATAGCCAAGTTTAACCATATTTCCAGGTAGTCGTATCAATCCAACATACAAGCCTGTGTCAAGATAAGTAAAAAATTAATATACAATGGGACAATCTAACAGCTTAAGTTTATATATAACATATGTAATTAAGTCATTTAACCCACTAGCACGCAGGACTCTCTTCTTGATGACTAAAATTGTCCGGCGTTTGACAGAGTAAAATAACAAAGGCGGGTCCATTTGGGTGTATTTCGGCCTAATGGGTTATCAAGGCACATTGGCAGATAGTTTGGATAACCATTAGTGAGCAGGACACTGCTCTTGAGGAGTAAAATTGTCTGGCATTTCACAAAGTAAAATGTCTGGTGTTAGTTAAGTGCAACATAACAAAGTAGGGTGCACTTGGGCACATTGCTGCTCAAAGGGTTAACAATAAAAGGGTGCATATAGTAGCTAAGTATATTGAATATCAATATACAGTCATTTAACAAGTTAATTTGTTTGGCATTTCAAGACATAGGATGCAATGGACTGATACTGTATCTGGCCGGATA